ACAAAGTTTATCAACTTGAAAAGAATATAGTCAACACAGAAAGGATCCTAAGAAATCATGAGCAATCCATCCAAGAGATATGGGATGTCATAAAAAAAACAAACTTGAGAGTCATTGGGATAGAAGAAGGTGTAGAGGTTCAAATCAAAGGAATGAACAATCTATTGAATGAAATAATCTTAGAAAACTTCCCAGATATGAAAGATGGAATGGATTGCCAAATCCTGGAAGCCTATAGGACCCCAAACATACAAAACCATAATAGATCAACTCCAAGACACATAATTATGAAGATATCCAACATACAGAACAAGGAGAGAATATTAAAAGCTATGAGAGAAAGGAGGCAGATTACATTCAGCGGTAAACCAATTAGGTTAATGGCTGATTTTTCATCACAGACGTTGAAAGCGAGAAGATCCTGGAACAACATATTTCAAACGCTGAAAAATAATGGATTCCAACCAAGAATACTGAATCCAGCAAAATTAAGCTTCAGATTTGACAATGAAATTAAAATATTTCATGATAAACAAAAGTTAAAAGGATTCACAGCCAGAAAACCAGCACTGCAAGCCATTTTGAGCAAAACACTACAAGAAGAGGAATTGAAAAACAGCACCCAAAACCAACAGTGGGAGATAACTCAGTAAAGGGAAGAAAAAAAATAACCAAAAAGGAAAAACTAGCCATATTAAAATAAATAAATAAATAAGCATGACAGGTAGTACTAACCATATATCAATAGTAACCTTAAACATTAATGGCTTAAATTCACCAATCAAGAGACATAGGCTAGTAACCTGGATTAAGAAAACAAATCCAATAATATGCTGCCTTCAGGAGACTCATATGATAGGAAAAGACATACACAGGCTGAAGGTGAAAGGTTGGGAAAAATCATACCACTCACATGGCCCTCAGAAGCAAGCAGGAGTGGCCATACTCATATCGAATAAAACCAACTTCAAACCTAAGTTAATCAAAAGGGATAAAGAAGGACACTATATACTGTTAAAAGGAACCATCCACCAACAAGACATAACAATTATCAATACGTATGCACCAAACAATGGTGCTGCAAAGTTCACAAAACAAACTCTCCTCAAGTTCAAGAGTCAAATAGACCACAACACAATAATTATGGGTGACTTCCACACCGCTCTCTCCATTGGACAAATCCTCCAGACAAAAGCTGAATAAAGAAACTATAGAACTCAATAACACAATCAATAACCTAGACTTAACCGACATTTATAGAATATATCAACCATCATCAAGTGGATACACGTTCTTCTCAGCAGCACATGGATCCTTCTCAAAGATAGACCATATATTATGTCACAGGGCAACTCTTAGTAAATATAAAGGTGTGGAGATAATATCATGCATCTTATCTGATCATAACAGAATGAAACTGGAAATCAATGATAAAAGAAGGAAGGAAAAATCCGGCATCACCTGGAAAAGGAACAATATGTTACTAAATGATCAATGGGTTACAGAAGACATAAAGGAGGAAATCAAAAAATTCTTAGAGATAAATGAAAATACAGACACAACATATCGGAATCTATGGGACACAATGAAAGCAGTTTTAAGAGGGAAATTCATTGCCTGGAGTTCATTCCTCAAAAAAAGAAAAAAACCAACAAATAAATGAACTCACACTTCATCTCAAAACCCTAGAAGAGGAAGAGCAAAACAACAGCAAATATAGCAGAAGACAAGAAATAATTAAAATCAGAGCAGAAATCAACGAAATCAAAACAAAAAAGACCATTGAAAAAATTGATAAAACTAAAAGTTGGTTCTTTGAAAAAATAAATAAGATCGACAGACCCTTAGCCATGCTAACGAAGAGAAGAAGAGAGAGAACTCAAATTACTAACATACGGGATGAAAAAGGCAATATCACAACGGACACTACAGAAATACAGAAGATAATTAGGAATTATTTTGAAACCCTATATTCCAATAAAATAGAAGATAGTGAAGATATTGATAAATTTCTTATGTCATATGATTTGCCCAGACTGAGTCAGGAAGATACACACAATTTAAACAGACCAATAACAAAGGAGGAAATAGAAGCAGCCATCAAAAGACTACCAACCAAGAAAAGCCCTGGACCGGATGGATATACAGCGGAGTTTTACAAAACCTTCAAAGAAGAATTAATACCAATACTTTTCAAGTTATTTCAAGAAATACAAAAAGAAGGAGCTCTTCCAAATTCATTCTATGAGGCCAACATCACCCTGATCCCGAAACCAGACAAAGACACTTCAAAGAAAGAAAACTACAGACCAATATCTCTAATGAACTTAGATGCAAAAATCCTCAATAAAATCCTGGCGAATCAAATACAAAAGCATATCAAAAAATTGTGCACCATGATCAAGTAGGATTCATCCCTGGGATGCAAGGCTGGTTCAATATACGGAAATCAATAAATGTTATTCACCACATCAATAGACTTAAAGATAAGAACCACATGATCATCTCAATAGATGCAGAAAAAGCATTCAACAAAGTACAGCATCCCTTTATGTTCAAAACACTAGAAAAACTAGGGATAACAGGAACTTACCTCAACATTGTAAAAGCTATATATGCTAAGCCTCAGGCTAGCATCATCCTGAATGGAGAAAAACTGAAGGCATTCCCTCTAAAAACTGGAACAAGATGCCCTCTCTCACCACTTCTATTCAATTTAGTTCTCGAAATACTAGCCAGAGCAATTAGACAGACAAAAGAAATTAAAGGCATAAAAATAGGAAAAGAAGAACTTAAATTATCACTATTTGCGGATGATATGATACTATATCTAACAGACCCAAAAGGGTCTACAAAGAAACTATTAGAGCTAATAAATGAATTCAGCAAAGTGGCAGGATATAAAATCCAGATGCCCAGATGCATAAATCAAAGGCATTCCTGTATATCAGCGACAAATCTTCTGAAATGGAAATGAGGACAACCACTCCATTCACAATATCCTCAAAGAAAATAAAATACTTGGGAATCAACCTAACAAAAGAGGTGAAAGATTTATATAATGAAAACTACAGAACCCTAAAGAGAGAAATAGAAGAAGACCTTAGAAGATGGAAAAATATACCCTGTTCATGGATAGGAAGAACTAACATCATCAAAATGGCGATATTACCCAAAGTTCTCTATAGGTTTAATGCAATGCCAATCAAAATCCCAATGGCATTTCTTGTAGAAATAGAGAAAGCAATCATGAAATTCATATGGAAGAACAAAAGACCCAGAATAGCAAAAACAACTCTAAGCAGGAAGTGTGAATCAGGCGGATAGCGATACCAGACTTCAAACTATACTACAGAGCAATAGTAACAAAAACAGCATGGTACTGGTACCAAAACAGGTGGGTGGACCAATGGTACAGAATAGAGGACACAGAGACCAATCCACAAAACTACAACTTTCTTATATTTGATAAAGGGGCTAAAAGCATGCAATGGAGGAAGGATAGCATCTTCAACAAATGGTGCTGGGAAAACTGGAAATCCATATGCAACAAAATGAAACTGAATCCCTTTCTCTCGCCATGCACAAAAGTTAACTCAAAATGGATCAAAGAGCTTGATTTCAAATCAGAGACTCTGTGCCTGATGGAAGAAAAAGTTGGCTCCGATCTACATATTGTGGGGTCCGGCTCCAAATTCCTTAATAGGACGCCCATAGCACAAGAGTTAATAAGTAGAATCAACAAATGGGACTTACTCAAACTAAAAAGTTTTTTCTCAGAAAGAGAAACAATAAGAGGTAAATAGGGAGCCTACATCCTGGGAACAAATTTTTACTCCTCACACTTCAGATAGAGCCCTAGTATCCAGAGTATACAAAGAACTCAAAAAATTAAACAATGAGATAACAAATAACCCAATCAACAAATGGGCCAAGGACCTGAACAGACACTTCTCAGAGGAGGACATACAATCAATCAACAAGTACATGAAAAAATGCTCACCATCTCTAGCTGTCAGAGAAATGCAAATCAAAACCACCCTAAGATACCATCTCACTCCAGTTAGATTGGCAGCCATTATGAAGTCAAACAACAACAAGTACTGGCGAGGATGTGGGGAAAGGGGTACTCTTGTACATTGCTGGTGGGACTGCAAATTGGTGCGGCCAATTTGGAAAGCAGTATGGAGATTCCTGGGAAAGCTGGGAATGGAACCACCATTTGACCCAGCTATTGCCCTTCTCGAACTATTCCCTGAAGACCTTAAAAGAGCGTACTACAGGGATACTGCCACATCGATGTTCATAGCGGCACAATTCACAATAGCTAGACTGTGGAACCAACCCAGATGGCCTTCAATAGATGAATGGATAAAAAAAAAATGTGGCATTTATACACAATGGAGTATTACGCAGCACTAAAAAATGACAAAATCATGGAATTTGCAGGGAAATGGATGGCATTAGAGCAGATTATGCTAAGTGAAGCTAGCCAATCCCTAATTACCTTAAGGAAAGAAAATAAATTGTATGCTGAGGTTGCTAAGATCTACCGTGAAAACAGGTCTTCCATCCATGAAATTGGGAAGAAGGAAAAAGAAATCTATGCTAGTTTTGCTGTCCACATCTCAAATTGCAAAAGTTATGACCACTGTGCATGCTAAATGCTTAGTTAATATGGAGAAGGCATCAAATTTGTGCATGTACTTAATGGAAAAACATTGTGTGTATGAGGAAGGAAGGGTGGAGACCCAGTACTAACTGCAGTTTCTAGAATCTACAGCAGATCTTGGAATATATCCTCAGCAAATAAAGGGGGGACTAATGTACAAAGTGCAATGGAGTTGAACCTTGACCTCCTATCAGTGACTCTGGAACCCTGTACCCACAAATTACCTATTATTTGATCTGCAGAGCCAATTAACTGAGTATCAGTATAAGGAGAGGAAAAAGGTATTTGAAAGCAATGACAATGAATCCCATTCGATAAATCCTCTCACCTGAGAAGAGAATTCCTTGCCTCCAGGATACAGAAAGGTATGCTTTGAGTGAGTTTGTCATCCACCTTCCCATAATGTATGCAGGGGACAGTGCAGGGGCCATCCACAGGCAGGCTGCACGGCAGCAGAGCTCCTTCCCATCCTGGACCATGTGTAACTTGTGGGGTGGGCAGAGGGCACTGAAGGCCACGGGGGAAATATGGCCCAGCTTCCTGAAGCACTGAGTTTATGAAGCAGAATGCAGACGTTTGCATGAATTTTTTTTTCAGACAAAATATGATACCTCCAAGAACTTTCTGACACACCATATTCCATTTCCAGCTGTGCCTCCAGTTCCACGGGGACTGTGTGCCTTGCTCTGCCAAGGAGGGCTCTTGGGGAAGAGTTGGTGGTGCTCTGGGGTAGGGCAAAGAGCACTGGACCAAGAGGCAGCAGGAGCAACCTGCAGAATCCAAGTTCAACTCCACCTGTCTCCCTCTCCCCAGCCACTGTCACTAAGGACACCATATTACTGCAGCACCCACCATCACTTCTCTGGATTACCTTCTTTCACAGAGGAGTGATCTTTTGAAATCCAGTTAGCTGAGCCCATTTTCTCTCTGGTTTAAAGACCTCGCACACATCACTCTGGCCTACGGGGTGAAGTCTGCATTTCTATAACTGGCACAAGGCCCCTCATAACCGGACCTAAAATGCCTTTGAAGACTTTGATATTCCAATACCTTGCACACACCCTACTTCCCTCCACTCCTCGGCTCCCCGTTCCTTGTTCCCCTTTGGGCTCCACCCAGGGAATCCTTGGTTCACCTCTAGGAGACCTCATCCACAGAGCAAGGGTGACCATGCCAGATGGCTGTTAGCACATACTGACCTCTATTTGTTCTCGTGTGCTTTTGTAGGTGGCAGAGAAAGCTTCTTCTAGAAGTTCTTTGGAAACTCAATCTCAGCAGATTTTCTTATTTCCAAATAGAATTAAAACAGGAAGTGAGAGTCAAAAGTATGCTCCACTGTGACAAAAGTCACATTATGAAACCAAAGTGTCCTCATTTCTTAGGAAGCTCCAGTCTCCTTGGGGGCAGAGGGATACTCCAGGGCTTCCATCTGAGACTGCAGAAACTCTCTTGCTTTGATTTCACTCTGAAATGGGGGCAAAATGTTCTCTGGTTTTGAATGCCAAAGGAAGTCCCCCGAGGAGCCCAAGTCAGATGGGGGAAGAAAGGGGCTGCAGAGAGCCAGGTAGAGGGCAGGCGGGTGCTTGAAGAGACAGAAGTGTTTCCTCTATTGAAAAAAAAAAAAAAAAACTTTTGTAGAAGAAGTCCTGGGTCCCCAAGCAAGTCCAATTTCACTAAAAAATCTGAGCTAAGCTCTGCCAACCAATTCAGGCTCCTTCCAGAAAGAGGGAGGAATAGTGGCTGTCTTCTCTCATCTCAGGACAGAGGGGGTTAATTAATTCTGTTCACCTTACACATCCCAAACCAAACTGGACTCGCTTTTACCCCCAATTTATCACTTGAAACCAAGTCCGTGTTGCTACAATTCTCCAGAACTCCTGCTGCTTCTTGTGCTGTTTTTAATGTTGTGTGTTGTATTGTTTTGTCCGTCTCATAACCGTCAGTGAGCAATCACCAATAAACTAGTAAACACATAAAAGAATCCAACAAACCATCTGCGAGCACAGGAAGCATGTTCTTACATATATGCTGAGTTTTCATCCTGTAACAAACTGTACCAACAGCTCCAATTTGCATTTTTCTCACACATTTATTCATCTAATACATCTAATACTGAGCTATTAGTTGTAAGGTGTCGTATGGAAAGTCCTCCCCTAACATAGGGATTCTCACACTTGAGTGCACCTGAGTCACTTGGATGACTTGCTAAAACACAGATTGCTACACCAGGCCACCAGATTTCCCATTCTGTAGCTGCTCTAGTTTGGATTTTGAATGTCCCCCAAAAGCCCATGTGCTAAAGGATTGGTCCTCAAGGTGGCATTATGAAAGGTGGTTGAATTTCTAAGAGTTAAGCCTAATGGGAGGTATTTAGGTCATTGGGGGAAGGCCCCCAAAGGACATCCTGGGATTCTGGCCCCTTCCTGCCCCGCCCTTGCTTCCTAGCCATGCAGTGAGTTTTTTGTTTTTGTTTTTGTTTCTGCCATGTGCTCCTATCACAATGTGCTGCCTCGCTACAGGGCCCCAAACAATGGGGCCAATGGATCACGAACTAGAACTGGCTGGGCACAATTCACGAGCCACTTATCAAGCAGAAACGAACTTTATTTTTAGAACACACAGGCTGCACCACATGAGCTCTTCAGGAATTCCCTCAGAGCCCAACTGCCACCACCGGCTTCCCAGGAGCCTCTCAACCCCCCCACCCCCCACTCCTCCTGCTCTTGAGACCAATTGGCTGGGTCGTGTGGGCGGAGCCAAAAGAGTCCCCCAATGAGCAGCTCTGTGGTCTGAAAGGGCAGGGAAACAGCCCAATGAGCATCACCACAGAGGAGCCAATCAACTGGCAGCTGGAAGTTTGCTGGGGCCACGGTGAGCCAATCAGCTGGAAGTTTGCTGGGGCCCCTTGGGCTGTGGCTCTCAACATCTCCCCCTCTCTGTTTAAACAACAAGCATGTGGCTTATGGACCGTGCCTGCCTTAGGTTGTCCAATACTACATATGGTCCTTACCCATCATCAGATGAGCTGACCTGAAGGCGTCAGCCTCCTGTCTTAGGTTGGTACCATTGCAATTGGATCTTACCCGTCATTGACTACCGGTCCAGCATACAGCCACACCTGTGGATAGCATCACTGCAGAGGAGCCAATCAGCTGGCAGCTGGAAGTTTGCTGGGGCCCCTTCAGCTGTGGCTCTCAACAAACCTCCAAAACTGAAGCAGATTAAACCTTTTTTCTCTTTATAATTTACTTATCTCAGGTATTTCATTGTAGTAATGAAAAGTCAATTCACCTAATAGTCATAGGGTGGGGCCTTGGAATTTGCATTTCTTAAAAATTCCCAGGTAATATAGATGTTACTAACCCTAAGAGCATATTCTGAGAATCACTGCATTCATATATCCAGGGTCAAATTCCTAGAATGTCCAGAATTGAGAAGATTGCTCAATAAATATTCATCAAACCAAATTAAAACAGACTTGAAAAAAATTCTGGTCTCTGAGATAACAGATCAGCTTGTGCAAATATTTGCAGTTTTCCCTAGCTGAGATAGAAACACAGGCGAGTAAGGACAACTTTATAGAGCAGGAGCTCTCGTTTATACATTAAATATTAGAACAGAGTATTTTGCACCTGACTTTTTTTTGGTGAGCTGACATAGGTGGAGACATCTTGGGGATTAAGGAAAATAAAGGGGTTGGGGAATTATCTTAGTGCTGGGGCATGTGCTAAGCTTGTATGAGGCCATGGGTTCAATCCTAAGCACCAGAAAGGGAGGGACGGGGAGGGAGATGGGGAAGGGGAGGGGGGAATGTTATCATCCTTACCACCTTTTAATTGCTTCCTTCATCTCCTCCATCCCTCTTCCTCCTCTTCCCCTCCTCCTCCTCCTCCTCCTCCTCTACCACAATGCATCAGTTAATATTTGTACAAATACTTTAAATTCTTTGGAAGAGAAAAACTGCTTTGTTGTCAAATTGAAAAAAAAAATCTATCTGTTCTGTAGAAGACAGAAAGGGCATATAATCAGTCCTTTCAAAAACAAAACAAAACACAAAAACCTTTGTCTTCTTTATATCATTTCTGTTGATCAAACATTAGGATAGATAAGAAGCCTCATTTTTTTCATGATCTCAGAGCTCCTATTCTAAGGCTATGCATAAAGAAAGGTCATCAGCTGACTATTTTAAATAATACTTTTAAACTTATGACTTAAGTGGCTTGTTTTCTTCAAATGGTGTTGTATTCAATGTATTTTCTTTAAATAGGAATGTCCTTGTGTGTTCATCGGATTCTCTCACGATTGCCAAGTTGTTGTTTTTTTAATTGCTCTTCCCCAAGTAGCAAACCTGGAGAAACACAAATTATAGGGGTTTATGTTTTATTTTTTTGCCTGGACTTCTTTATCTTGCAAAGAGAGAAGAGTAATTATGTAAATCTAACAACTGCCAAAAATATGCCTAAGCCATTAATTGACCAATGCAATGAATCTCTCCCAGATCTCTGGTTGTCTTCTTTTTAAAAAGTGATTTAGTGACTTTTTTAAATTAAGAAATTTTACATTTTAAAAGAGTTTTAGTTTCTCAGCAAAATGGAGTGGAAAGTGAAGTGTTACCATGTACCCCATCTCCAGGGCACACAACCTCCGCCACCATCAACATCCTTCACCCAAGCAGAGGCTCAATCCATGAGTTTACACTGACACCTTTTTATCAACTTAAGTCTCTAGTTTATACCAAGGTTCACTTTATTTGTTTGTTTGATTGTTTATTGAGACAGGGTCTCACTCCATTGCCTAGGCTTGTCTCAAACTCATGAGCTCCTGATCCGCCTGCCTCAGCTGGGATCCCAAGCATGCACCACCATGTCTATAATGCATTAGGGTCCACTCTCCACGTCGTGTATTCTGTGGGGTTTGAGCAACGTGAAATGTAGCCACATGGTAGTGTCATAGGGAATAGCTTCATCCTAAAAATCTAAGCTCTGCCTATTCATCCCTCTCTGCCTCCTAACCACCTGAAACCACTGATCTTTTTCACTGTCTCATAGTTTTGTCTTCTCCAGAATGTCACATATAGCCAGCCTCCCCTGCCCATCCTTGGGGAATATGTCCCAAGACCCACTGCATCCGGTATATACTGTGTTTTCTCCATCACATTCATACTTACAGTTAATGCCTTTTCCATTTTAACAAAGCACGTTCACACACTCTATTAATAGTAACAACTTTGGTAGTTTGAGGGGTTACAACAAGTCAAATTTCTCTTCACAATTTCATGGATGGAAGATTTGTTCTCACCATGCATCTTAGCATCTCAGCACACATTTTTTTTTCTTTCCTTATTAAATGGAGAACTCTAATCTTTTCCATTAAGGAAGCACTGTAAGATTTTTCTTTGTTATATCTGATTTGCCAACATCACTGTTCTTGCCCTTGGGGGCTGCCATTCGGTACAGTAAGGGTTACTTGAACAGAAGCGCTGTGATACCAGGACAGTCAATCTGATAACAGATGGCTATTAAGTGACTAATGGACAGGAAG